GAGCCGTGTCTGACTTGCGCAGGGGTATGTAGAGAGGGGGTAGGAGGGTTGAAGCAGCGGGTTATTGTGCCAGCGAATTAGTGGTTCTGCCGGGACAGCGGGTTAGCGAGTTAGCGGGCCAACGGGTTAACGGGACGGTGGGTTAGTGGGAGCGGAGCGGGGAGCTGCTGCTGCAGGGGGCGGGCGGGGGGTGGTGGTGGACTGGGACGCAAGGGCGCGGTGAGTGTGGGTGTGGGTGTGCGGGGGATAAGGAGGGGCGTGGAGTGGTGTGGCGTGAACGGAGAGAGGGAGGGGTGAGGCTCCGGCCGCCGATCTCCGTAGAGGGTAAAGGGAGGGGGGTGGCAGGTGGCAGGTGATGCGCGCAAGGTGGTATGCAAGAGCTTAGTTAGTGCTTGCTTGCAACTGTGATGTCGTTCGTGAGTGAGGAGGGAAGATGAAGCCAGCCAACGGCAAGCAGGTAGGTAGGCAGGCAAGGCAGGGCAGGGCAGGGCAAGGAGGAAAAGGAGCAGGAAGGTGCACGCGTTGCGCGTTGCGCTTTGCTGCTCAGGTGATGGAGTGATCGGGCAGCGCCTCGTACAATAGCCATCAACTCGAAACCGGATTCCTTCTCGCGCACGCCCTGCCTACTTACGTACGGCATAGTATGCTGCTAGCCTGCTACTGCTGGTGCGCGCGCGCTATTGTACTCGCTCCTCGTGTGATTCGCTTCATTCGCCTGCCCTACCCGCCGGACAGAAGGGAGGGGGCTTAAGCTTATACTTCTTCTACCGAAAGCCGAGCTCCGACCAACCAACGCAGTGAACTGACTGCCCAATACCGAAGGGACCGAGATACACGGAAACAGGGAGCCCGGCGCCCTTCTTTCCTTGGATTAGGGAAGAAGATGGATGGCGTGAGGCACTAGCCGCCCAGAACAGACTGACTGACTGACAGACAAAGGAAAGAGCTAAGAGAGTGCTGTGCGCGCTCGTACATAGCTAGCGAAAGACATGCTTTTGTGGGGTTCTGTCTTGCGTGCATACGTTGTCGACGCTACCGGCCCCGTCTCCGTGGGAGAAGGAGAACGACCATACCGAGACTCCATACCGATAGGGACAAGACTTGTAGCCAAATAACGCCCTCGCTACTGAGGCTGTCCCAAACAAAATAAATGGCCAGGCCGTGATATCGTCGTGATGACTAGAGATGAAAGGACCGTGAATGGCGGAAAAGGTCTTCGATGACATGGGCGCCGGCATAAGGTCCCAAGGAAAAACGAAAACAGCGGGCGTAGAGATACATGAGCCGGAAATGTCGTGATCGTGATCGTGAGTGTGAGCATAGTCGTGAATGCTCGTAGAAAGCCGCAGGAACCCATAGCTTCGTCAAGTCTATCATAGCAGCTGACGAGAGAAATTGACAGACCGAAGAAGATGGACTGAAAGAAGAAAAAGACGCCGTCGGACAGTATTACCCCAGGTCTACCGTCTCTTCATGCGCCGGTTCCTCTTGTCAAATAGGGTAGGGAAAGACAAAAAGAAACGCCACCGTTATTTCTCCTCTGGTGTGGTGGATCCACACCGCAGCACCCTCGTGATAGCCTGGCGAATGGTGCTTCTCCTCCGCCTCCTTGGAGGCTTGTCATTACCACTCTCCGACTCATCATTACTGTCTCTTTTATGGTCGCGCTTCGCCTCTTCTTCCTTTCCCTTATCTTTCTTCTCTCTGTCTTTCTTCTCGCGGTCTACCGAGAACGAGTTCTTGCTTGCATGTAGCGTCCATCTAACGTAGTCGATAAGCTTGGCCTTCTCATCGTCGTCGTCTTCGTCTTCAAACACCGACACGGTCTGCTGCAGTGCATAGGAAGCGTTGTGCACAGGGCTAAGGGATGGTATTGGCTCTGGTGGCATGGTGGGTGTCAGGGGCGCGGCTGTGGCAAGGGATCCAGAGCGGCTGGGGCGGCATGGCGGTAGCAACGCTTTTTCCTTTTCCTTTTTCTCATCCGCCGGTTTTGCCTCTTCATCTTCCGTGACGAGTCTGATGGGTGCGCTGAGTTTTAGGGGAGCGACGGGCTTGCGCACAATGCGGATGACAGGCGGGGCCGTCGGGGATAGATCCTCTACTGGCGCATTGTCTGGCCTAGGAGGGCGAGGTGGGCATTGTCGAGATTTTGGCGACGGTTGTGTTTTGTTCTTCCCGGGAGACTTTTTTGACGACTTTGCTGGCTTCTTAGAGGATTCTTTTATAGGTACCGGTGAAGCAAGTGTTTGGCCCTCCTTCCGCAAGCCTTGACATCTTGGGATCAACCGATAATGTGCAATGGGAGGAGACTCTTTCGAAAGAATCCGAGGCGGTGGAGCTAAGGCAGGGGTAAATCCTCCAATGTCATGCGCGGAGTCGACTCTATCACGCTCGAGGGGAAATCCGAAATCGAAAGTCGATGACGAAGGGGTCACATCTTCAGGTATGGGTGACGGCACTGGGCGAATGGTTGGAGAATCCGGGATTCCTCCGTAGCTTGAAATGATGTCCTCCAACACGTTGGTTTGTTGACCAGGACGGTACGGCGATTGCCTACAGGGGCTTGAGGAATTGGCCTGTCTTGCCGCTTCCCGTTCTGCAAGTTCCATCACGCGCCTATCCCAGTACTCCCCAGTTTTAGCTCTCTGCGGTGAAGTTGGCGGTGTTCGAGCCTCAGGGGTGGAGACATCTGGCGACGACGATCGGTCCAGGAGGGCGCGTGTTTGGGATGTCCGCTTCCTTGGTGAGCGCTTTGGGCATTGTCGAGAAGTATCGAAACCAGGCATGCCTGGGGAGTTTGAGAGGGGAGACCGTGTGCCAGAAGTTCCGGAAAGAAAGCAGCTGTTGGTTGAAGAGCAGCCTACCATGATTGTCTCGATAAGCACAGCGAGGTGCGATAGGGTAAGTGGATCATATATGCTACGGCACACCCCATTCCCTGGAGTCAAGGGGTCCGGAGAGACTGCTGTTTACAGTAAAGGTCGAGACCGCTTAGACCTGTGGCTTGATGCTGAGGACCATTGCCAGCATTACGTGAACCCCCTCTCTGGGCCCTGGCGTTTCCCGTAAAGTCGAGCAAATTTGGACACGTTGTTTGGCCCTTGTTTTGCTTCAGCGCGCGCAGGCCGGCGCGGCGGCCAATCAGCAATCCTAGGCACACGTAAACCTGACGGGTTGCATTGTGTAGTCGTTGAGGCGGGCGCGGGCTGAAGCAAGGGACCATGGCCATCGACCGATGCGTGCCTTGCGTGGTCAAGGCAGCGCGGGTCGCAGCATAAGACGCATCACACCGCGCACAGCGGTATTTTCGATGACCCTGCAACGCCAAAACGATACGCAGCACGAAGGAAAAAAATTTGGGTGGTCCGTCAGATAGATGAGCGTGCGAGCGGATCTGAACAACCCGCATCCGCGAAGCGAGAGTGATGTTAAAAGTAGATGGCTTACAAGGATGTATCTCCAGGGAAGCGAGCTGCAGTCACCGGGAAATTGAGAAAAACGTGGTGGCACAACTATCAGGAATGATAACACCAAAAAAGAAGTGCGAGACAGCCAGACATACGCTGTCTCTGTTTGTTTTTCTTTGCGACTCATGGAAAGAAAGTTTCGAGGTGCTATGGGGATCATCGATAAAGCCAGGTAGATCTCCCGCTGGTTCCCACCGCAAATCGTCCAATGTCGTTGACGCGGATACGGGACATCTGTTGAGTGGGTTACTTGTTGATTGCACTCCCGGAACCTAAATAGCCGCCGGGGAGGCTGAGGCTTGGATAGTTGGACGCTCATCAGACGACAGAGACCGGGGAGCGAGTACGTAAAGCATCGTTGGTGTGACATGACGGTCATACGCGCCCAATGATCCACTTTTTTCCTGGACCAGAGGCAACTCGACATCCTCCAACCCCCAGCTACTTGCCTTGCAGGAGTTCTGCGGTTTCTTCATTCTTGCTCCAAACTTTGCCACTGCTGCAGCAAAGCGACGTGCGGTGCGGAGCTGAGCAGCGCTGAATGTCTCAGCCATTCGCCCTATCTGAACGTGTCGTCCGCTCTGCTGTCTCTCCGAACGCGTCGCAAGGCGAGCCTTTTGATCAGTTGACAGCCGCAACATCTCACATTTCGCTTTTGTGCGAGCAAACTGCAAATCCTTGGTGGTTATGCCCTCGCATCGCCGGGGTCCGCTTTAGCGCATCGCCCCACCACCATCGATCGCGCAATCCTGGAGGGGAGAGCGGGGGGAACTGCGGACCTGGTAGGATCTGGCAGATGCAAAGGTGATAGATTGCGAAATTACCCACACTGGCACGACTGGAACCTCGGCACGCCACCACAACGGTCGCGTCAAATGGGATAGAAGACCGCTGCCGGCAAGCGGGTTACGAGGATTCAAGGCTCCACACCGGCAACAGCACGTCGTGCCGTCCGTCCACGGAGCAGCGGATTACGACACCACGGACGTGCAGAGCGACCGACCGGATTCCTGTGAATTGTCTCGAGCGCATTGTTCCGGGTCACAATCATCTGGAATGGATCCCTGAGACTCGCGTGAAGAGGAACGTGGCAAGGGAGGCCCAGCGACGCCTAGTCTGGCCAGCATGGCGGGCCCACAGATCTGTGAAGCGACAATCTGTGGGCGACATCGGACAGATG